GACCCCACGTGACCCCACCCCTAACCCCAGACCTCCAGGCCACTGCCCCCCACATGATACCTGCCTGCCCCAGCCCCCCAGCCCTGACCCCCAGTGACCCCAGCCCCTACTCCCCCCCGTGATACCCGCCTGCCCCAGCCCCCTCGGTGACCCTGGACCATGCTGGCACCCTCTGCAGCAGGGGCATTAAACTCAGCTCCTGCAGCTGCCCGGCCCGGTGCTCCTGGTGCCATTGGGGGGCAGCTCCGTTGGCGGAGGCCTGCCCAGGATGTGGGGCGGCCCCCCAGCTGGGGGAGCAGCACGTCTGCGTGGCTGCCAGGACGCCCACCTGTTGGGCAGGAACATGCCGATGAAGCAGGCCAGCGGGTTGGCCATGGCGGCCAGCGTGGCTGAGAGGTGGTAGGCCGAGTTGCCGTAGGGCAGGCAGGAGTAGGACTGCACCGCGGGCAGCACGGCGTTGGTCAGCGCGTTGACCCAGGCCAGCACCAGGAAGATGTAGGCCACCTGGGGCCAGGAGTACGTGCCGGTGCCGAAGTAGCCACTGAGGCGGCGGCTCTCGGTGGGGCTGATCATGGGCCGCTCCTCCACCACGGCCTGCAGGCCCGAGCCGGCCTCCACCCGGGCCTGGGCCCGGAACCGCTCCTTGGCCCGCTCCTGCCGGGCGGCCGGGAGGTGGTTGAGCAGGACGAAGGCGGCGAGGCACAGGCCCATCATGCCGCCAAGGAAGAGGAAGAAGAGGCGAACGGAGAACCGGGCCGGCTGGTACTCCACCTGCAGCCCCGGGCCCGAGGCGTTCCCCGCCAGGCTGCCATTCACGCACCGGGCCACTCCCACCCCCTGGGCCAGGGCCACCAGGCCGGGCACCAGGCCGCTCAGCCCCTCGCCCACGAAGTAGGTGGTCAGGTACCGGGCCCGGAACCGCAGCATGAAGGGCAGGAAGGTGACGGAGGAGGTGCAGTCCACCAGGGAGAGGAAGAAGAGGAGGACGAGGAGGGCGGTGCTGCGGGCAGTGCCCCCCACCACGCTGGTCTCCTGCCAGAAGAAGGCCAGCAGGACACAGGCCAGCGCCCCGAGGCTGATGATGGTGTAGATGGTGCCGGGCTCGCTGAGCCGCCCGGGCCGGAAGTGGTGCATGAGGGTGACGAAGAGCGGCCCCACGTTGGCGAACTGGATCAGCACAGTGAGGTAGGACGGCAGGTACCAGCCCTCCGGGACCCGGGGCACAATGAGGGGCAGCTCCACCCACATGCCGTTGATGGCCACCCACGAGCCTGTGCCCAGGAGGCAGGCGAGGATGTGAACCACCAGCACCATGGCTTCTGCTGGCGCGCCGGGCCTGAGAGCCAAACAGAGAGGGGGGCATTAAACCAGAGCGGCGGGCCCAGCACGGGGGCAGGACGGGCTCTCTCTGGAAAGCCAGCGCAGAAGCCTGGATGTGACCCCAAAGCCGGGTAACCCCCTGCCGCCCCCAAAGCCAA